CAATAAGCTGAGTTGAGCAAATCTGATGATTTTTTGCTGCAATTAAGCAGAGTAATATATTGTTAGTGAAAGCTCTTCTTAAAATATAGCTAAAATATAAGTGTGTTGAGCAGGTAAAATATTGAAATGGATTCATTTACGTTGTTCACTTACTATCACTTCAAAGAACATGACACAGCCCATTCGGGCTTAAGAATAAGTTAATGATAAGCGTATCATTTTATCTTACTTAACAAAAATGAAAATTTTAGAACAAATGATGCCACATTTACAGTCAAGCAATTTACCCCTTCGAACTATCACTAACCCCTACCTAAATTTTCTGATACAAAAAAGAGGTGCATGGAGGTACCATCATTACATTATTGGAATTGACAAGTATAATCACCTCAAACCTACAACATACCGACAATTCAAGATTTGATTTCCATTTCTCATTTCTCTTGCCCTCTCCTCCCATTTTCTGAGCAACCAAACAAACAAAAACTGGAACAAACCACAATCCATTTCCCGATATAAACAAAAGGTAAGTTTCAGGCAAAACACGCTGATGTTAGCACCATGCGGGAGGCCATACGGGTGATCCGCGTGCCCAGCTATCCGATTGCCCAGGTTCAATCTCGTGTGCATGAACGGCTCATATTCGTTCTCTCCTTATACACAATCGGACACACGAGATCAGTCATAATGAATGGTCCAAATTTACCCATGCAATCGGCCTAAACAGACAAAAATTGGATAACTCTTTTCGCTCTACATCGATGTGAATGGATGACCCAGATCGATGTCGAATGAGTATATAAACATCGCTCGCAGGGAAACTCTAACCTTAGTCGCCCTACCATCGCCCTCGCTGGAGAAGGGCGACCAGCCACTGGAAAAGGAGATCGATCCCCAGTTGTCGCCGCACTGGGGCCACCATCAACTGCCAAAAAAGGTAAAATTCTCCAATACTCACTTGAAATTCGATTATGAGTATTTTCATGATCGTATCGGAGTAAAAAAGGCAATGGGTGAGTCGAAAAATTGCGGACAAATCCCGACAGAGCCGACGCGATCGAAACCCAAAACTCCCTCTGATAAACCCTTTCCCATTTTCTGTTTTATACGATTTTCTGACTATTGTGTTCACCGTATTTTTTTGTACAGAATAGACGAAGAAGAAACTCCAGCTGCAAATGAGAACTGGCAGAGCCACTGCACCTGGAGATCTCTCTGCCGGTAAGTTTAGTGTTTTGCGATTTTTGGCCAATCAAGGTCTCTTAACGTATTTTTTTGCAGGAATAAGTATAAAATCAACTAAAACTGGCCAAAACCGGCTAGGTCAAGGCAAACCGCCACCATGGGCAGTAGAGCCAGCGCTGGAGCACAGTGGCGGCGCTGTGTTGGAACCCTAAAATTGGCCAAAAATGGTTTTCAACACCTATTTAGGGTATTTTTAGTTGTGTGACAAGTATTTTAGATTCTCGCAGGAAAATTCAGAAAATTCGAGACCCATTAGAAATACAATAGACAGCGCGACGTCTCGAAATGTCGATTCAGGTAATAATCTTTCACCATATTCCCTGTTACAGTAAATAGAGCCTTAATAATTGATAATTGTGTGTTTTGTAAAAATTAAAAGAATCTTAACAATAATTATAAGTCACTAGTGGAAGTGAAAAACTTGTCAGTGTACGATTGCTCTGAGCTCATCTATGTGGCTATTTATTCTACTATACTGCCTAAATTGCTTATTGTTCTGCCATATGATTTAAATTATCACATTTAATTGTCTTCTCGTTATTGATTGCCTTATTGTAATTCTTATTTGATTAATTATGTTAAAAATAAAGGCCCTGATTACGTTTCTTGGTTATTAAAGTATGAAGTTGTATTGTTTGTTTAAATATCGTTTAATTAATATGTGAATATGATATGAGAGGTTGGTATGCACTTGGTGTTTATTTTGTTGATGAGAATATTTATGTGAAAGACTTATTGGGTATCTTAGGAAACGGCAGACGAGTCTGCTATATAGGGAACCCTACCGTGAATGTTATCTCAGTCGGACTGGGGTAGGAAGTCCCATACTGGAAGAATTTAGAAGATATGGTTCACCCTTATACCGGATGAAGTATCGAAAGGATAAAATATTTGACACTCATTACCGGACGGGGTATGGGGACAACCAGCTCATTGATAAATTTGGATATTTGGTTCACGCATATGGGAACATCTCTATAGACCCTCAAGGATGCCAATAAGCAGGTCAAAAATGAAAATTGTCGTTTCTTGTTTACTTGTGCGTAAAATTAAAAAGTTGTATAAATATTAATTTTTATAAGTTGATTTTTGGAAAACTCGTAATAATAAGTATGAAATAAGCGATTTTCTTCATGATAAATGAATTTACTTAAATTAAGGGCTCCATTAATTATTTTGTGATTTTTACTAACATTTATTTTTTCGTACTAGTGATTAGCGTAATATTCTTACTGGGTTAATGTAGCTTACCATTCTATTAACCGTTTCAGATCAAGAGGACCATGATCCAAATCTTGATCAGTAAGAAGGTTGTGAGTAGTTTACCTTCTAGACCCCTTCAAGAACTAGTGGATGTTAACTCTTTTTTTTCGAGCAACTGTAATAGGGACATTCCCGTAGCCCTATTGATCATTTTAATTAACTGTGTAGGGAATGTAAACCCTAATATTATTATTCGCTTCCGCATTTAAATGATAGATTCACTTTTTTAAAGTTTTAGGTCTTTACAACAATATTTTTTTTAATACTACTAAACCAACATCCTTCAAATCAATTAGAAAGTAAGTAAACATCCAAAAATTTATCGATAATTTTTTTATACGAACTAATGTTGTTAAATTATATTTTTTTCATCATTGTTATTTTTTTGGATATTCTTTTTCACTCAAAATAATATAATTAATATCGATACTGATTCATTAGTGCTATTTTAGTTCATAAAATTACTATTAGACCCAAATGCAAATGCTCTCTGAGTTGTAGTGGTGTTAATTGTGATCATTTCTCTTGGTTCTATATGTACTATAATTCTTGTTCTCGTATTTCGTCCATCAAGATTAGTACATAAAGATAATTTACGGAAGCTAATTCTAATATTGGGTAATTAGTATTAATGGAAAATATAATATTCTTGTCAAATTTTGTGAGGAATGATATTTGTGATTGTTAATTTTACGGAATTTAGAATTTATTTACTTATCTTCGAGGAAATTTACAGCGAGATTACTATAGAAATAAGAGAAGTGTAAAAACTTTTAATTATTGTTATAGATGTAAATATTTAGAGATAATGTGTAATTCATTAAAATATAGGTTCTATAATTATTAAATTACAAAAAAATAAATTTATTTTATGATAATAATACCTAATTTTATTCAATCTAACGGTAATATAATAATTTTAACAATATACAAATAATCATCATGTTTAATATTTTTATTTACTATTAAATTTTCTTCAAAACACTTTGTATATTTTTATTTAATAATTAAAATATCATCAAATATTTTGTTGCGTATTAATTAAATTAAAAATAGACCATTCAAACACAGAAAATCAAATCAAACCAAAATTCTAAATTACAATAACTTATAGGTTATATTATAATTACTTTAAACAAATATAAAGTCAGTAATAAAGTGAACCAGACACGGGGCATCTACGCATATAGATATGGTTTATAAAAAATATTTGAAATAGTAAAAAAAAAAAAAAAGTTCTAATTTAGTAATGAGCCTCGTAAAAAATGACTTTACCTTTTTCCTAATTATCTCACTTAATTACCAATAATATAAATATTATATTTTAAAATATAAAATTTATTATTTCCTTACTCTAATTTATAATATTAAATTTAATAAAATTAATAATTTAATTTATTATTATATTAATAAAATTATAATGATTAATTTAAAATAAATTTTAACAAATTTATTATATTTTTAAATTAAATTATTATTTTATTATCGTCTTCACAGTAGATTAAAATCATTATATTCTATTAAATTTCTTTAATTGATATTTATAATGATTAAAATTATCAATGTATACTATACACCAATGGTGATTGATTTTTAATAATAAATTTAATAAGTTAAAAAATTTAATTTATTAATATATTAATAAAATTACATTAATTAAATTAAAATAAGTGTCATGAATGCATTATATTTTTAGATAAAATTATTATTTTATTATTACTGGATTTATTTTTTTCTTGGAACCCACAAAGGGTTTATTTTTAAAAAATCTTAATTAATTATATAAATTAAGAAAAAATATATATGAAAATGGAAAGGTTGTGTGTGTAAGCAGATTCCGCGGTGCAATCAAAAAGTAACGTTTGCACTCCTCCGTAAAACGTCCATCGTCTGTGACTCTCTCACCTCTTCTATATAAACACATACCACCCCCAATGGAATGCTTATTTTCTCGAGAAACAAACAAAATACACCACAACCAACATCGACAACAACGTTAACAACAGATCAAAAACGAAAACCGTACCCACAACCAGACCCGACCAAGCGAACCTTCCCCAAATAAAGGAACACCGGGAAAAGATATATACATACATACAGGTCCGAGCGTCTTTTCATTTTTCTTTTTGTTATAGTAGACGGCAAATGCGGGACTCCGGCGATGCCACGTCAGTGTGAAGACTCGCCGGTAACATGGGTTCGAGTACGGTGATGGTGGCCGCCGCTGGTGGTGCTTCTTGTCTTAACGGAGCCGTGACGGCGGCCAACGGCGTTAATTTTCATTACAGTGGCGGCGGGGGTGGCGGAGGAAGCGGCGGTGGGATTGGTGCTCGCCGGTTTGTGGCGTCGGGATTTGTTTTCTTTGTGGGATGTTTTGTGTTGTATGGGTTGATAGCGGCTTCCTACGCGCGGTTATTCACGCCACATTATGCACGCGCCGGCATGTCTTCTCTGGGTTGCCGGGAGGACAATGAGGGTTCTTGGTCTATTGGGGTGTTCTACGGTGATTCTCCTTTCTCTCTCAAGCCGATTGAAACAGTAAGTCTTTATGTTATTTTTATTTTTACTCAAATGCTCTTTTTCTTTTCTCTTTTCTTTTCCTTCTTTATTCTCTGCCATATCTGTGCATACAACATATATGTTTCTGTATTATTCTGTGGAGGTTTCATTAGTTAATTTCTTTTTTTTTTTTTTGAACTTTTTTAGGGTGGTCAGGATTTCCTTTATGCTGTTCGTATGTGCATGTAGTGGATTTATGCTAGGTTCTGTTTTCTTGCGTTTATAGATGGAGAGTTTAAAGATTTGATCTTTGGTTGTTTTATGATCTGGGTGCTTTTGGGTTTTTTTGTTTCTTTGAGTTGGTTTGGTTTTGATTACTGGGTCAGTTTTGGTTACAGATGAACGTGTGGAAGGATGAGAGTGCTGCCTGGCCAGTGGCTAACCCAGTTCTGACTTGTGCTTTAGTTTCAGATTCTGGTTTCCCAAGTAATTTTGTTGCTGATCCTTTTCTTTATATTCAGGTATGTGTTTGTTTAACTATCTTTAATATTTTATTTGTGTTGCTGAGGGTTGAAAGAGGAAAAAAAGTAGTATCATTATAAATTCTAAAATCATTTCCAACCTTCTGATGATATTATTCAACGACAGTTATCTCCTGCTGTGTTAATTACATAGAATGAGAACTACGGCCTTTTTTGACTTGTACTAATTGGTAGGGAAGCTTCGTGGTTAATTTAGTTATTTGTAATCAAGCCATAGAAATGTTTGCCGATGCTTACAAGCAAACAAGAAGTACTATCTAACATATTTATTTTCCAAAATTCATGCTACTGTTAAATGTTTTATGCTGGATCGTAGTGGTTGGAGTCTTGTGACAGAAGTTGTTCATGGCAGCATAGTGGAACCACTCGATTGATCTGTATTCGTTGAGAGTTATTGCACCTCTGGTTGCTATTACAATTTCCTCCTGAGGTCTTTATGACCGTATACACTTGGTATTATATATGCATGTGGGGCCCAAAATCTTTAACCCTATTTTCCAGTCTTCTCTTCTTTTTTCTTTCCTTGTCACCATTTCAGAATGAAAAATAAAATCTTTGTTCTGTTAGTTTCCTTCCCAATTAAGCCAAAGAGTTGTTACCATGTGCCTACATATGGCTACAGGACCAGAGGTCCTTCGAAAATTCAAGTGATGGACGAGCAAAAGTTGAAAAGAGTTTCGGGAGCAATTTGGGTTACTTAGCATTTCTTCTCATCATTTAAAACTTCAAGACTTGATTTGGTGAATATGCAGTGGATACCCAAAATGAGTTAGTAGTAGGAGGTTGCAGAAATTTTGTAGAGAATGGGTTGGAGATTACTAGAGTTACCAAATGGGTGAATAGCAACTAGGTGATAGATCAATTGAAATTTTATAGACTAGGAAAAGTAGCTTTCTTCAGGAGACATGGAAATTGATAAGCAGCGATAAATGGACCCTTGTTATTTTGCTTTAGCAAACGTTGTATTAAAAAAAAATTGATTTGTCATTGAAAACAGCCTGATTATTGAGTTTCCCTAAATAATGAATTTGATTCCTCTAGTCTCTGTGGAACCTGTTTCTTGTACATGTCAAGTGAAGCACTTGTTGAATCAATGGTAACTCTCATAATTTCTACAGCAGTAATTCTTTTTTTTTTTTTTGCCTATCTGATTTGAAAACAGAAGAGGGGTGGGTAAATCAACGTAGATATATGTGATAATCTGTGTAATTATCAATAGCATGCAAATTAACATAGATAGACCGTTGATTTTTCCCATTCTGTTGTAGTTTTCTATGGTGTGGAAGATGCGCTGTTTTTTTTATCACTAGAAGCCTATTGGTCTTGTGCTGTCATTGTCAGCATCCTCATGGTGCAACTTCTCAAGTCATTTTCTTATTTTCTTTATGTCTTGCATTTTTTTTCCAATGATTTTCTCGAAGTTGCATTGATCACTATATATATATATATATATATATCCGTTCTGTAGAAAGGATTTGATTTATGATTTCTTAATTACATGTATTCTCCCCGTAGAATATGTATTAACTTTATATGAAGTCTTTGTTTGAGAAGTTCTTGCAAGTGTTTTCTTAGTGTTCTTTTCTTTTAAAGGGGCATTAGTGTCTTTGTCCCTTAGAGCTTTTAATGACATGAAAAATTAGTTGATTTTATTTTCTCTCTCCCCCTCACAATTTTTATGCTCAACAAATAATGTTAAAATTTTTTATAGCATATATGCTAGTTTCATTATTATTTATGCCGTTTTATTTACTTGGCGTGTATAAGTTAAAGCTCTTCTTCTAGTTTTCTATTTCACTCATGAATTAGCTTTGTCTTTTTCCTCACTGATGGGACGTGGGTATGAATTTTTATTTGGTCCTTTTTTTTATTTAATATAATTCTAATCTCGTGTAATGTATGTCCTATTCTAACTTCACAATGTAACAAGAAAATGCATATGTAGATGTTAGATATTTATCACACTATAGTATTAATTGGTCTGAAAACTTAGAAGTTTAAACAACAGTTGTTGTTTCCATACTACCCTATAAGCACTGGTGAGGTCAAACTGAGAAAATAAATTTCAAGTCCCATCAGAATTGTTGGCATGTACTTCCAAGCTCAACTTGTACTTTGCAGGCTCGATATTGATTAAGTCAAACTGACTTTATGGAGTGCCAAAAAGAATTAGATACCAGTTAGGATTTTTTAAAGAGAATCAATGCTAGTTGACCTGTGATTTTTACGATTCTGTACAGTCTTTTTTTTTAACAATTTTAAATAGTGGGAAAGTAGGAAGTAGAGGAAGAAGAAAGAAATGAAAAGGAAAGTGTTCAGTATGAGGCAATCCTGCATGGTGAAAGGTATTAATTAAGTTCTTGAAAAGAAGGTTGTCATAAACTAGAGAAACAGTTGGATTAGCAGCTGAAGGAAGGTTTAAATTTCTTCTTCTCGTCATTTTTTCTTTCTTTTTGAGAAACGAAGGTTGAAATATTTTGAGAATTAAGGAAATATAGTTTTACTCCTTCAAAATCTTATTACAGTCTTTAGACAGCTATTTATTTTGGGGAATACTAGTAAAATATCATAAGATACGATAATTGGGTGAGGAGATGCATTGGCTGATTCTGGCACAAAATTAGTTTTGATACTACGGAAGTGCACCCAAATGGAAAAATGATTTCACAAAATCTTCCTGTAGCTATATATGCCTGTCTGTTTTTTTTAATCAGCATCAGAATACAGTTTGCTATATGGACAATTGAAATTTAGTTAGCTCAAACTTCAATTGAATATGAATTGAGGTCCTAGTTTGTTTCATCGGCTTAAGAAAGAGCCCTCGTAATCCTCAAAAATGAAATCTATGTAACTAGCATTTAACTATGTGATCGGCCAACAAGTTAAAATAGAAATTTTTTAACTCATTTACAAATTTATAGTCCCACTGATTAAACCATCCTCGCCTTCTATCTCCAAGTTGATACCTAAACTGGTAAAAAAATATTCCAACTACTAGTTACTTCTGCTATGAAGAAGACAATTTACATAATTGACTCCATACATAGCCCACAACATACTGTCTTAACTATTAGTAGGTAATTGTTCATTAAGGCTTTAATTGTGGTACATCATGTCTCACGATAATGGAGAGATTGTGGACCTCATGATTTTGTTTCTGTAAACGTGGACTTCATAACTCTTGTTTCTTAAATGTAGAAAGCTTTTATAGACAGGCAGCAACTTTTGGTGCATTTGTGAATATACTCTCTTTTTTGTCATAGTGAATATATTATTTTTGGGGTTCTAAATAATATATAGTTAAGTATGCAAATCCATTCTTACGTTAGATTATCATTAAAAATTTGATTTTGAAGATCTTTAATTTCCTTTTTCTTTATTAAATATCAAACCATTTTGTATACATTTTCTGTTACACCTAAAAGCATGATGAAGCAACTAATAACATGTAAAGCACACAACAAAATTTTAGTAGCATTGTATATTGAATTTCTGTTGTCAACCACTGGATCCAAGTCTCCATGGTACTTTTGCATTATCTGGTGCATAAATGTAGGTGAGGTCATCCAACCATACATCACTAATTATTTTTTCTCAAATGTTCTTTATGTGCTTCATTTTTTAAAACCCCGGTAAAGCTGTTTCTGTGATTCCTTGGTTCATTTCAATTGTTCCACCACGTCTGCCCTTCTTTTACCAGAAGGCTTTGATGGACCAGGATTATCAAATTTTCTGCCCCTTAAAGTGGATGGTAAAGTGAGTGCAACATCAATTGCTCCATTGGAATTAATTGATATCTAGAGATGGACTTTAGTGTTAACGTGACCCATTTTTGGCTTTATCTTATTTTTGGATTGTTGATGCCTCATGGTGGCTAATGATTGCTTATGGATGTTGGCGAAGTATTTGAGTATTAGGTTGGTTAGTTATGTGGGAAATTGTTCATAACATTAGGCATTTTTTCTTAAAGTTTTGCTTGGGCAATGTTCTCATGCTCTGTTCTTTTGGAGGAGATGGTATGGACTTTTTATAGTTCTATCATCTCTTAGATTCTTGATATGGTTGATTAGGTCATGGAATAATCTTTTATTGGGTTTTCCGAGACTTGGGCTTCCTTGATTAGATGCTTTAGAATTATTTGAAATATTTTGGCACCTCCACAGCAGCTACTGACTAAGTATTGCATATAAAAAATACACAGAGAGGAAGTCTAGTTCTTTACATTCATTTAATTTTTGAACTTACTTTTCTTTTTTTTCCTTTTCTTGAGGTGCTCCTATGCCTCTTGTTTAGTGCCTCCGAAAATGGATTTTTGATTTGGAAGGTGCACATTTAATTTGCATTTCGACTTTTTTTAAAATTGTTTTCTTGAAGTGCTCCTATTTCTTCCTGATTGTTTAGTACCTTGAAAAATGGGTCTTTTATTTGCAATAAGTTCTTTTTTACTTTGCCCCGCCCTCTCGCAAAGAATAAGGAAAATCTATGTGATTTGCAAATGCCATATTTACTCCAAGAGCCTATTGAATATTCAAGTTACCAATTTATAACATATTGGGCCATTTTTCTGTTTTACAAGCTAGAGCAGTTATTTTCCTTACACTTTAAATAAATTGGCAGGATTCATTTGCTAAACTCCTCTCTCCTAATCATGCGCAAACCTGCATGCACCAACCAATACATGCAGAGTGTGTTTGTATGTGCATGCATATGCACATGCTGCAAAGTCTTAATAGTAGCTTACTTCAGTGTTTTTTCAAATGTCCCAAGGTTGGAATTCTAGAACTTCTTTCTTATGTCTCCTTTTGCTGGCGTTATGATACAGGGCAATACTATGTACCTATTTTATGAGACTAAAAATCCAGCTACTATGCAAGGGGATATTGGAGTTGCAAAAAGCATTGATAAGGGCGCTACATGGCAACCATTAGGCATAGCCCTGGATGAAGACTGGCATCTCTCTTATCCTTATGTCTTCAATTATCTTGGTGAAGTAAGCCATTTATTTCCTTCTTTGTGGTTGTGAAGAAATTATTTTTTTTTGTATTGGCCTATGCCATACAATTGATAAGGAGCTGGATAGGGAATGCATCTAGGATTCTTCTTTAATAATAACTGAAAGTTCAATATACTAATTGCTTTGAATCATTTGGTATACGTGTTACTTTGGCAATTTTGGAGTGAATTAAATATGGGAAAAAATTTGCAATTCTATTCTTGGATTTTTTTTGTTTCATTTTTCATTTTCCTCCAAAAATCTGAAGTAAAGTTTTTTAGGGTTAAGAAGCAATTTTATGAGAGTGAAAAGGGAAATTGTGTTTAATTGAGCTTGCATTTTACAAGATTTTTGTTTGGCACACATTGTTTTTCTTTCTATAAAAAACTATGTAAAACAAGGAAAAATATAGGAATAAAAAGAACAAAGAAAATTTCAGCATATGTATAAAAAAGCTTGTTCTTCAAGAAAAAATACACACAAAACCGTCAAGTGAACAAACATTTTGCTGTCAGAAGAAAAAGGTGCTTTCAAGTTTTCCTATATTACCTTTTTATTCATCTAATTAACATTTCTTAGCTTGTTTACAAGTTTTTCAATATGAATCATGTGAGTAGCTGCTTTCTACATTTATTTATTTTTTCATGATCTAAAAGTTGCTTGAATGGGATCATCACGTACTTATTGAAGATGTTGCTAAAAAGTTCACACAGCCGTTTGTTGTTAATAATATATCTTTGTTCGTCAGAAAAATGGAAGAATATTTTTGTTTATAGCGATTTACTTCTTGCCATTTCTTACAGATATACATGATGCCGGAGAGTAGTGAGAAAGGAGAACTTCGTCTTTATCGAGCACTTAGCTTTCCCCTCCATTGGAAACTAGACAGAATTGTCTTGAAAAAGCCTATTGTTGATCCTGTTCTAATAAATCATGATGGAAATTATTGGCTTTTTGGCTCAGATCATAGTGGCTTTGGAACCATGAAGAATGGACAACTAGAAATTTGGTACAGCAGCTCACCTCTTGGTCCTTGGAAACCACACAAGAAGAACCCTATATATAATGTTGACAAGAGTTTAGGGGCTCGAAATGGTGGCAGGCCATTTCTTTACAATGGAAACTTGTATCGTGTTGGTCAAGACTGTGGTGAAACTTATGGACGACGAGTGCGTACTTTTAAGATGGAGGTGCTTACTGAGTCTGAATATAAAGAAATTGAAGTCCCTTTCAACTTGGAGGTGATAAATAAAGGGAAGAAATACTTGGAACGGTGCTCGCTACCATCACTTTGATGCACAGCAGTTGGGTTCTGGTGAATGGATTGGGGTAATGGATGGAGACCGAGTACCTTCAGGGGACATAGGCCACCGGTTTATGCTTGGTTGTTCTTCTGTTGCAGCTGTTGGTGCTATTGTTGTATTATTGGGCGTACTGCTTGGAGCTGTGAACTGCATAATTCCCCTCAACTGGTGTGCTTATTACTCAGGAAAGAGGAGTGATTCTTTCTTGGCTTGGGAGAGGGCCAATATGTTCTCTTCAAAGGTGAGAAGGTTCTGTTGTCGTTTGAACAGAGTACCTTCATTTCTTCGAGGCTTAATAAAATCTAATACTTTCATGGGAAAGTTGGTTCTGGTTTTGATATTTTCAGTTGGAGTTGTGTTGATGTGCTCTGGTGTTAAGTACATATACGGAGGCAGTGGTGCAGAAGAAGCGTACCCATGGAAGGGTCATCATTCGCAGTTTACATTGTTAACGATGACATATGATGCTCGACTTTGGAATTTGAAAATGTATGTTAAGCATTACTCTAGGTGTTCTTCAGTGAAAGAGATTGTTGTGGTTTGGAACAAAGGAATACCACCCAAATTGAGTGATCTAGACTCAGCTGTGCCTGTTAGGATCAGAGTGGAGAGTCAGAACTCACTAAACAATCGGTTTAAGATGGATCCATTAATTAAGACCCGTGCGGTGCTGGAGCTTGATGATGATATTATGATGAGATGTGATGATGTTGAAAGGGGATTTAGAGTATGGCGCCAGCATCCAGATAGAATTGTGGGTTTTTACCCCCGTCTGGTGGATGAAAGAAAGAAGTATAGGGGTGAGAAATATGCCAGGAGCCGTAAAGGTTATAACATAATTCTTACTGGG